GAGGTGACGGGAGGAGGGGAGGACGAGACGAGTGGGAACGGAGCAACATAGGGTGGGAGGGCAGGACAGGAGAGACGGGACGGGCACGTGAGGGACGACGAGACCAAACGTGGGACGGAGGTGTAGGGTCAGGAGACAGCGGAGGGGACACAGGAGGGAAACGAGGAGGAAGACGGGCCAGAGACGAGTCCGGCGGCGGGAACACAGGACCGTAGACAGGAAGGTCAGCAGGCGGTGGGGGAGACACCGGCGAGCGGTCAGGGGAGGGAAGGCCGAGCAGACGGAGAGCGGAGACCGGCGGCGACGGCTGCTGGGGCTGCTGCGGCGGCTGGGCCTCGACCCTCGGACCGGCAGAACTCTCAACGGCAGCACCCCCAGAACCAACACCCCCAGAGCGAGAACACCCTCCAGCACCAGCGGCACCCCCAGGCCCACCGGGACAGACCACTCCAGGCGCGGCAGGACGAACACCCTCCTCGACGCCAGCACCCCCAGGGGCCAAGGGCGGCAGCGGCGGCGGCGGCGACGGCGGCTGCAGCGGCTGCGGGGGCGGCGGTGGCGGCGGCGGCGGAGGTGGCGGCGGTGGCGGCGGCAGGGAAGGCGGAGACACCGGGGAAGGGGGACGCGGCAGGGACGGGCCGGGGGGACCACCAGAGTCAGCTGACTCCTCAACTGGGACAACCGACGGGAGGGGAGTGACGTGAGAGACACCAGACGGGGCAGGACGAGGCGGGAGAGGAGCAGGGGCTACCGGGGGAGAGGGAGAAAGGAAGAGGGGCGGGGCAACCGGGAGACCTCGGTGAGGGAAGCAGCGGTAAAAGGAGACAGACTCGTCAATGGTGACGTCACGGGAGTGGAGGAAGCGGTGAGACGGCGGGTGGTAGAAGAGCCAGTCAGACGAGTCTAGGGGGAAACCGAGGAAGACACAGGGGACAGTGCGGGCCGTGAGCTTGTCCGTGCCAGAGGCACGAACGTGAGCAAGGCAACCCTAGACGTGGAACGCAGACGCGTCACCGGGGGACCCGGTCCAAAGGAGGGTCGGCGAAACCTGCGGCCGCTGGGAGCGGGGCCACAGGTTAAGCTGGTGAGCAGCGTAGCGGACAGCGAACGGCCACAGAAAATGGGGGGCATCGGCATGGATCATGGAGGTACGAGCCACCTCCATGACCAAACCGATGCGGCGCTCAGCAACCCCATTCTGCTGTGGCGAGTCCGGCAAGGTGTACGAGTGGGTGATGCCCTCCGCACGACAGAACTGTCCAAGCCGACTAGAGGCGAACTCACCGCCACGGTCAGAGTGGAGACACAACACAGGGAGACCGCGGTGAAGACGTGCAGCCACAACCCACGGGAGAAGAACGTCGGGCACGTCGGCCTTCCGCTCCAGGGGAAACACCGTGGTGTAGCGCGTGTAGTCGTCGACGAGCACAAGAAAGTAGCGCTCACCGCGCGGTCCGGGGACGGGGGCCGGGCCCCAAACGTCCAGGTGCAGGGTCTGAAGGGGGGCAGTAGCAGGACGCAGCGAGGAGGAGTGAGGAGCACGGCGGAGCCGGCCCTCGACGCAAGGCGTGCACGGTGGCGCAGTCGAGGGTGGGAGGGCAGGGAGCGACGCGGGGAGGCCTAAGACAAGACCGTACTCAGACATGTGACGCAGACGTGGGAGAGCAGGGTGACCTAAGCGGTGGTGCCAGAGAAGGGACGGGTGAGTGAGGGACCGACACGAGCAAGCTGCAGCGACCTGGGAGGACGCACCAACCGGGGGGGAAGCGGTGTCGAGGGTAAACAGACCAGACACCGGGTCCCGGGGGAACGTCGCAAGAGGGGAACCTGAGACAGCCTCGGTACAGACAGCGAACCGCTCGTGCCCAGGGAACGTGGTGGTGACGCCGAGGTCCTGAAGACGGCCGACACCAACCAGGTTCCTGGAGAACGAGGGAACGTGGAAGCCTATAAGAGAGCCCGAGGGAACGGCTGGACAGGGAAGGGAAGTGGAACTGCGAGCGACGACAGGACCGGCAGAGGGGTCAGCAAGGGAGACAACCGCAGGTGCAGCAAGCGGCGTGAGCGTGAACCGGTCACGGAAGAAACAGGCAGAAGCACCGGAGTCGAGCGTGAAGGACAGCGAGGCAGTGGCAGAGGCCGGGGACGGGGCCGGTGCAGAAGCTAGGCTAGGCAACCTAGGCAGTCCTACGCCTGACGCAGCAGGGGAAGCTAAGCTACACAAGGGTGAGACACCTAAACTAGAGTACACAGGGTAGTAAGATCCAGCAACACTAGAAGCGTCAGCATACAAAGCATGCAAAGCAGCACCTATCTGATCCATGTCTAACTCAAAGATCGGCACGCCCTGGCGGAGCAGGCTGTGCCAGTCAGGGAGGTCCGGGGCCGGGCCAAAGCGACGACGAAAAAGATCGTCGAGGCGGCGGAAACAGCGGGCGGTCGGGTGCGGGCGGCGGCACAGAGTGCCGCGGAGAGGCCCGGTCTGAAGCTGGTACTGGCAGGTCACAACACTGGAGCCGCTGGTAGACGCCAAGCTGCGCGGGCCGCCACCACGGCCACCGCCTCCGGAGGTGCCGGGCCAACCAGGCGGGAGACGAGCCCACGGCTGCTGCGGGTGCTGCTGGGACGGCGGCTGCGGCTGGGGCTGGTCCTGCTGCTGCTGGGGCTGCTGCTCCTGCCCACCGGTGGTAGTCCCCTCAGGCGGACTACCGTCACCACCACCACGACCACCACCACCTGCGTCACCACCCCTACCTCCCTGGCGGCCACGGCCACCGCGACGCGAGCGCTGCTGCGGGTGGACAGCAGCAGCCGTCTCGGTAAGAGGGGTCGCCGTGGCGATCGCAGCCGAAACGTCAGTGAACGTGCACTGGGATGGGGCACAGCCGTGAAAGATAGAGACTGCCGGCGCACCGCTCGACTGAGCGATAGTGCGCTGGCGAGTCTCGATCTCAGTGAGGGTGTCGACAAAGGCGGTCAGGGTGAGGTCACCCGGGTGCTGGCTAAGAAAGTGGTCGCGAGCACTAGCGAGGCGGTCTGGCAGGCGCATAGCGATAAAATAGAGCGTCATGCAGAAAGGAGGGGGGAGCGCAGTGAGCTGGGCAGCAGTGCTGGCAGTGCGATAGCGAGTCTCTAGGGCACGCAAATGAGTGGCAAAGTCTGCGACAGTAGGGAAGGCAGCCAGGTCTGGGAACAGCATCGGAAAGAGCAAGCGGCCAGCAGAAGCGGAGGCAGGGGTGGAATAGCGAGCAATAACGGCGTCTAAATAAGCTTTGGCCGTTTCAACAGTTGCAAAACGCGAGCGCTCAGACACAGGGAGGGCGTGACTAATAGCAACCTGAGCTACTGCATCGCGTGAGTCCCAGACCGCACAGGCCAGCGCAGCAGTAGAGAAAGCCTCACGGTCATCAGAGGAGGGGTCAGCAGGGAGGGGAGTAGGTGCAGGGGGGCGGGAGAGCAAGCCATCAGCATGGACAACCAGAGAGTGGCCATCCTGGCGCTGACCTGTAAGCTGGCGGCGGAGATCGGAGAGCTAGGCGGCGAAGTCAACCGCGTGGCCCTCACCGTCCAGGCGGAGCACAAAGTCAGCCATCGTGCAGGGTCAGCGGCACAGCTCCTCAGCGACACAGCGGCACAGCGGCACAGCTCCTCAGCGGCACAGGAGCACAGCGGCGCGGGGACACGGCGGCAGCACTCTCCAGTAGGGCAGCAGCTAGGCGTCCCAGCGCAGGCGAGCAGAAGACACAGGGCCCGAGAGGACACGGCAGGCCGAGCAGGGGAGGCGGGCAGGTGCTCTGGGGCCGGGCTGGTGCTGGGAGGGGCCAGGCTGGCGCTGCTGGGGCCGGTCGGGCACGAGGAGGGGCCGGGCAGCGCTGAGGAGAGGCCGGGCGGCGCTAGGAAGGGGCCGGGCGGCACTAGGAGGAGGCCGGGCGGCACTAGGAGGAGGCCGAGCGGCACTAGGAGGAGGCCAGCCGGGTGAGCGCTAACAGCAGGCGCGACAGGGGCCAGCGGGCGCGACGAGGCCTAAGGGGCGCGACGGGGCCCAGCGGGCACGACGGGGCCCAGGGGGGGCGCGACGGGGCCGAGGAGGCGCGACGGGAACCAGCGGGCACGACGGGGCCCAAGGGGGCCGCGACGGGGCCTAACGGGCGCGACGGGGCCCAGGGGGGGCGCGACGGGGCCTAGCAGGCGCGACGGGGCCTAGGAAGCGCGAAGGGGCCCAGCGGGCGCGACGGGGCCTAGGAGGCGCGACAGGGCCCAGCGGGCGCGACGGTGCCCAGAGGGGGCGCAACGGGGCCTAGGAGGCGCGACGGGGCCCAGCGGGCACGACAGGGCCTAGGAGGGGCGCGACGGGGCCGAACGGGCGCGACGGGGCCCAGAGGGGGGGGACGCGACGGGGCTTAGGAGGCGCGACGATGCCTAGGAGGCACGACGGGGCCCAGCGGGCTCGACGGGGCCCAGGGGGGGCGCGACGGGGCCTAGGAGGCGCGACGGGGACCAGCGGGGGCGCGTTAGGGCCTAGGGGTCGCGACGGGGCCCAGCGGGCGCGACGGGGCCCAGGGGGAGCGCGACGGGGCCTAGGAGGCGCGGCGGAGCCCAGCGGGCACGACGGGGCCCAGGGGGGGCGCGACGGGGCCTAACGAGCGCGACGGGGCCCAGGGGGGGCGCGACGGGGCCTAGGGGGCGTGACGGAGCCTAGGAGGCGCGACGGGCGGAAGCGGTAGGCGGGGGGATCCTAACCTAAGCGTGATACCATGTTAACGTAGAAACGAATGAATTACTAGGAAGAGAAACATAGAACAAATACCAGTTGGTTGTACTCACTAGAAGCACACACCTAGTCCAGCCTATAACTTCTACATAGATAATATGTATAAGTTGACACCTTGGAGGTGTTATGCATTGCCGAGTGTGAGCTTCATCCACCACCACCAATTCCGAACGTACAAAGAAACAATTCACTGCATGCTGCCAACAATATTGCCAGAAAGCATTGCCTTGCATGACAACGGTAGGTTCCACAACCAGAAGGGAGGTGTAGAGGAGGAGACTAGGCAAAAAAGATGTCATTGATCCTCAAGGGTGGGTAAGATATAAATAAACCCCACAGCCACAGCCCTCAAACATCCTATTGGTCCACGTGCTGCTGCTGCTGCACATTCGGCAGCCGGGTCCATGCTTCCTGTTGTACTAAGTGTTTCTTGAGAAATTCTAAACCAGCAGCTACAATATGCTATTGTTCCACCGGCTGCCGCTGCTGCACATTCAGTAGCAGCCAGGTCCATGCTTCCTCTTCAGGCTGTCAGCATATATGCAGTGCAGGCGGGCTTGAGAGCTCTCAAAAGCACCCTGCAAAATCAGGCTGCTGCTGCTGCTGCTGCTGCTGCTGCACATTCGGCAGCTGGGTCCATGCTTCCTCATCAGGCTGTCAGCATGTACTACTTCGCTGCCGGCTTGAGTGTGATTATAAGGAACCCTGCTGGGTCGAACTTGGCCCCGACGACCTTCCCCTGAACAGCCTTGGGCAGCTCCACGCACCTCCTCTGGTCGCCCGCCTCCACCAGCAACTCTGCTCCGCCCTTCCACTGGTTTTGAGGGGGGGGTTCGAGGGGGGTCAGGGAAGAGGAGGAGGGGGGGAAGGGGGCAGGGGAAGGGATTGGAATGTGGGTCGAACTTCGCCCCGACGACCTTCCCCTGAATGGCTCTGGGCAGCTCCACGCACCGCCTCTGGTCGCCTGCCTCCACCAGCAACTCCGCTCCGCCCTTCCACTGGTTTTGCGGGGGGGGGGGGGGTGTTGGAGGAAAGGAAAGGGAGGGAAGGGCCTCTGATCGCCTGCCTCTCCGCGCCGCCCTTCCACTGGTGATTGAGGGAGGGGGGTTGAGCGTGTTGGGGATGTGAGGGGAAGTACATGTGGTGCGAACGGCCTTTGGCAGCTCCACACACTGCCTCTCATCGCCCGCCTCTGCTAAAAACTCCACTCCGCCCTTCCACTGGTTTTGAGGAGGGGGTTCGAGGGGGGTCGGGGGAGGGGGGGAGGGGGGAAGAAGGAAAGGGAGGGAAGGGGGCAGGGGAAGGGATTGGAATGCGGGTCGAATTTCGCCCTGGCGACCTTCCCCTGACGCCCTGACGACCTTCCCCTGAATTGCCTTTGGCCGCTCCACGCACCGTCTCTGGTCACCTGCCTCTACCAGCAGCTTCGCTCCGCCCTTCCACTGGTGATGTGCGGAAGTGGAGTGGGAGGGTGGGCGGGGGTCAAGGAAGAGGGTGGGAGGGGGCAGGAGAAGGAGTCTATTTTTGAGGCGCCTCAAAAATAGACGCCTCAAAAAGAGGCGCCTAAAAAATAGACCCTCTTCCTCACTGAAGGAAGAGGGTGGGAGGGGGCAGGGGAAGGAGTCTATTCTTCCTCACTCAAGGAAGAGGGTGGGAGGGGCAGGGGAAGGAGTCTATTCTTCCTCACTCAAGGAAGAGTGTGGGAGGGGGCAGGGGAAGCAGTCTATTCTTCCTCACTCAAGGAAGAGGGTGGGAGCGGGCAGGGGAAGGAGTCTATTCTTCCTCACTCAAGGAAGAAGGTGGGAGGGGGCAGGGGAAGGAGTCTATTCTTCCTCACTCAAGGAAGAGGGTGGGAGGGGGCAGGGGAAGGAGTCTATTCTTCCTCACTCAAGGAAGAGGGTGGGAGGGGGCAGGGGAAGGAGTCTATTCTTTCTCACTCAAGGAAGAGGGTGGGAGGGGGTTGGGGAAGGAGTCTATTCTTCCTCACTCAAGGAAGAGGGTGGGAGGGGGCAGGGGAAGGAGTATATTCTTCCTCACTCAAGGAAGAGGGTGGGAGGGGGCAGGGGAAGGAGTCTATTCTTCCTCACTCAAGGAAGAGGGTGGGAGGGGGCAGGGGAAGGAGTCTATTCTTCCTCACTCAAGGAAGAGGGTGGGAGGGGGCAGGGGAAGGAGTCTATTCTTCCTCACTCAAGGAAGAAGGTGGGAGGGGGCAGGGGAAGGAGTCTATTCTTCCTCACTCAAGGAAGAGGGTGGGAGGGGGCAGGGGAAGGAGTCTATTCTTCCTCACTCAAGGAAGAGGGTGGGAGGGGCAGGGGAAGGAGTCTATTCTTCCTCACTCAAGGAAGAGGGTGGGAGGGGGCAGGGGAAGGAGTCTATTCTTCCTCACTCAAGGAAGAGGGTGGGAGGGGGCAGGGGAAGGAGTCTATTCTTCCTCACTCAAGGAAGAGGGTGGGAGGGGGCAGGGGAAGGAGTCTATTCTTCCTCACTCAAGGAAGAAGGTGGGAGGGGGCAGGGGAAGGAGTCTATTCTGCCTCACTCAAGGAAGAGGGTGGGAGGGGGCAGGGGAAGGAGTCTATTCTTCCTCACTCAAGGAAGAAGGTGGGAGGGGGCAGGGGAAGGAGTCTATTCTTCCTCACTCAAGGAAGAGGGTGGGAGGGGGCAGGGGAAGGAGTCTATTCTTCCTCACTCAAGGAAGAGGGTGGGAGGGGGCAGGGGAAGGAGTCTATTCTTCCTCACTCAAGGAAGAGGGTGGGAGGGGGCAGGGGAAGGAGTCTATTCTTCCTCACTCAAGGAAGAGTGTGGGAGGGGGCAGGGGAAGGAGTCTATTCTTCCTCACTCAAGGAAGAGGGTGGGAGCGGGCAGGGGAAGGAGTCTATTCTTCCTCACTCAAGGAAGAAGGTGGGAGGGGGCAGGGGAAGGAGTCTATTCTTCCTCACTCAAGGAAGAGGGTGGGAGGGGGCAGGGGAAGGAGTCTATTCTTCCTCACTCAAGGAAGAGGGTGGGAGGGGGCAGGGGAAGGAGTCTATTCTTTCTCACTCAAGGAAGAGGGTGGGAGGGGGTTGGGGAAGGAGTCTATTCTTCCTCACTCAAGGAAGAGGGTGGGAGGGGGCAGGGGAAGGAGTCTATTCTTCCTCACTCAAGGAAGAGGGTGGGAGGGGGCAGGGGAAGGAGTCTATTCTTCCTCACTCAAGGAAGAGGGTGGGAGGGGGCAGGGGAAGGAGTCTATTCTTCCTCACTCAAGGAAGAGGGTGGGAGGGGGCAGGGGAAGGAGTCTATTCTTCCTCACTCAAGGAAGAGGGTGGGAGCGGGCAGGGGAAGGAGTCTATTCTTCCTCACTCAAGGAAGAGGGTGGGAGGGGGCAGGGGAAGGGATGGAAATGTGGCAACTCTCGAGCACGCGCCCTTCCACTTGTGATGTGTGGGGATTTGGTAAGGCGAATGAAGGGGTCTCCACTTGCATAGTTGCTAGTGAAGCAGCTATGCAACCCATCCACCCAGCTGCTTTGCTTGAAACAGGGATGCGATGAGAGCTACCGAAGTAAGTAATGGTTCACCTGCTGCAGCTTGAGAGGGGATAAGAGAAAATTAGTGCCTCACCTGCTGCAGCTTGAGCGGGGATAAGAGAAAATTAGTGCCTCACCTGCTGCAGCTTGAGCAGGGATAAGAGATAATTAGTGCATCGATTGCTGCAGCTTGAGCTCCTGCTTGTCAAACACCATAAGAGATTTGAAACCATCGGAGTGAAAAGACCCCGAACCCCAGCAACAAAGCTGCTGGAGCGAAGGAAAGTTCTAAGCCGACTCACCTGCTGCAGCTTGACCTCCTGCTTGTCGAATCCCGGCAGAAAAAGACGAACCGTGCACGCCGCCACGTCGACATCCACCGCCCGAGGAACCTTCCCCGCACCTTCCCCATTCATAACCGCCACTGCTTCGGCGCTCATCTGCCCGGCTGCTGCTGCTACAGCCGCGGGGGCTTCCTCCGACACTACGGGCAGCTCCGCCACGTGCAGCGGAAAAAACTTTTCAGGGACTTGTGGTTTCAGGGCGCTTTCTGAATTTTCTGATTTTCCAGATTTTTCGGAAGAAGCGGGAGAGGAGTGAGGGGTCTGGAGGAAGACCCCTGAAGGGGAGACTCCTGCCTGCACCGCACAGCCCCAGATGCGGCGACACGTGTCGACTGACGAGTGGCTCGCTGCATCGGCCAATAGGAAGACGGACGTGCGATAGGGGTCTGCGAATGCTGCGACGGCTTTCTGAGGGGTGGGTGGGTCAGGAAAAAGGGAGGAAGAGTGGGGCAAAGAGGGGGGGGTGGGAAGGGAGGAGGAGAGGGGAGAGGGGGAAAGAGTGAGAGAGGAGAGAGATGGGTGAATGGGAAAGAAAGGAGAAGGCCCAAAGTGGAGTCCAGCAGGCGGGTCGTTGCGGCGGGCCGTGGCAAGCGCACACAGACATGTTTAGTATGGAGTCCACGGATTTCCATATCGCTGCCGTGCTGCACTGGGTATTCTCCCCACTTTCACCACTGCCACTGCTGCTGCTGCTGCGCTGCTGATTTTGCTGCTGCTGCTGCCTTTAGAGAAGCCCACTGCGGAGTCAAGCAGCCAGTCCACTGAGGGCAGAGCCGCACAGCACTCACCGATAGAATGGAGTCCAAGGACTCCCACATCTCTGCTGTGCTGCGCTGGGTGTCCTCCGCACCACCCCCACCCCCACTGCTGCTCTTAGAGCCGCCTACGATCGAGTCCAGCAGGCGGGCCACTGAGGGCAGAGCCACGCGGCCGATGTCGGTTCGCTCAGCAAGGGTTCGAAAGCGTCGTAGGTACCACCTGGTTTGGTGGGTGGGAGGGATGTGGGGGGGAGGAGGCACGGGTTAGGAGGAGAGGTGAGGTGTGGAGTTCAGTAGCCAGCCTCGTGAAGGCAGAGCCGCATGGCTGATGCTAGTTCGCTCGGCAAGGGTTCGAAAGCTTTTCAGGTACCACCTGGTTGGGTGGGGGGGATGTGGAGGGGGAGGAGAGGTGAGGTGTGGAGTTCAGTAGCCGGCCTTGTGAGGGCAGAGCTGCACGGCTGATGCTGCTTCGCTCGGCTGGCGATCGAAAACGTCGTAGGCAAGGAAATGTGTACCACCCGGTCAGGAAGGAAAGGGGAGGAAAGATGGGTGGGGTGAAGATGGGCGTGGAGGGGTAATGATGAGGGAAGAGAGATTCTGTGGTACAACTAACCAGCAAAGTCCAGCAAGGGGCCTGTGAGAAGCAAGGGGCCTGTGAGAGGCAAGGAGCCTGTGAGAGGCAAGGAGCCTGTGAGAGGCAAGGAGCCTGTGAGAGGCAAGGAGCCTGTGAGAGGCAAGGAGCCTGTGAGAGGGCACATGAGAGGCGCCTGAACAACAGGTGGCCTCTTATGTCACGACCACCTCTGCCTCTTATGTCACGACCACCTCTGCCTCTTATGTCACGACCACCTCTGCCTCCTCCTCCTCTTCCCACTAAGACACCCGCTCTCTAATATGCCACTCTCCCAACGCACTCCACCGCATATCACTGCTCTCCACCACACCTCACCTGCTCTTTTCGGGGCTTGCCAGCATCCTCAGAACCTCCCAGGTCGTGGGCCCATCAAACACAACCACCTCCGCCTCCTTCTCTCCCCACGGGTACACCCACTCCCCCCCTGCTGCTCCTTTCTTGGCTGCTGACGTGGATTTAGGCCCTGCTGATGTGGCGAAGGCCAGCAGGCCGCCAGCTGGACGCGCAATCCGCTCCAAGACTGCGACTGCCATGACGGCGTCCATGCCAGGTAGGACTGATAATTCCTCCCCTACAACCTGCAATGGTGATGGCACAGGGAATCATCCCACTTCAAAGCTTTTTCAACCAACTAATAAAATCCCACCTGATAAGTTCAGCTCATATCATGCATTCACACCCGTTCGGTTCAGCGCTTATCCTATAGTCACACACACGTTGGTTCACCTCATACAGTCACTCACACACGAACTCACCTCTGCCAGTGCACCCTGTGTGATCCCCAGCCGCTCGTCCGCCTTCTTTATAATCTCAAGAGGTGCCAACAGGAGCTGCCAGGGAGAGCAGGGAAGGGCAAAGGCAAAGAGGGGAGACGTGGAGAGGGGAGAGGTGAAGAGGGGAGAGGTGAAGAGGGGAGAGGAGGGGAGAGGTGAAGAGGGGAGAGGTGAAGAGGGGAGAGGAGGGGAGAGGTGAAGAGGGGAGAGGTGAAGAGGGGAGAGGAGGGGAGAGGTGAAGAGGGGAGAGGTGAAGAGGGGAGAGGTGAAGAGGGGAGAGGTGAAGAGGGGAGAGGTGAAGAGGGGAGAGGTGAAGAGGGGAGAGGTGGAGGGGAGAGGGGAAGAGGGGAGAGGTGAAGAGGGGAGAGGTGAAGAGGGGAGAGGCGAAGAGGGGAGAGGCGAAGAGGGGAGAGGTGAAGAGGGGAGAGGTGAAGAGGGGAGAGGTGAAGAGGGAAGAAGGTAATGGAAGGATGGGAAAGAGGGAGAGGGGGGAGCAGTTGAGGATAGAGCGTTGGGAAAGGAAAGGGCGAAGGGGGAGAGGAAGAGAGGAGCGTGGGGGAGGAAAGGGGAGAGGAAGAGGGGAAGGGCGGGGGGAGGGGAGAGGAAGGGGGGCGAGAAGGGGGGGGAGACCGCGCAGTTCGACATGGTTTAACTGTGTGCCTGAAGAGTAGAGCTGTGACACGACGGCTTGATGACAGGATGAATTGATGACACGAGGACATGATGACATGAGGGCATGCGACGATTTCGTGTGGGAGAAGTGACTGCTGAGCGTGTACCTTGGTGGTTTCCACACGAAGAGCACAAAGCAATGACTGCTGCGAGTCAGCAGCACCAGCAGCAGCAGCAGCAACGGGCACGGGTTGGGGCAAGGGGGTGAGTCGCATCCCCAGCAGCCTGTCCGCCACTCGGTCCTGCGACTGCACCACGAGGCACGTGCGGTAACCAGCTGCTGCGTAACGCTGGGGGTAGTGGGTTGAGAGGGCGGGGGGGATGCCGGTGGTTGAACTGATATGCCACTTGTCACATGGGTTGGGGCGAGGGAGTGAGTCGCATTCCCAGGAGACTGTCAGCCACTCTGTCCTGCGACTGCACCACGAGGCACGTGCGGTAACCAGCTGCTGCGTAACGCTGGGAGCGGTGGGGAGTGGCGGAGGAGATGGGGGGAGAAAGTATGAGGGAAGAAGTTTGAAGACCCTGAGACTGCACCACGCGGCACGTGCGGTAACCAGCTGCTGTGTAACGCTGGGAGCGGTGGGGAGTGGCGGAGGAGATGGGGGGAGAAAGTATGAGGGAAGAAGTTTGAAGACCCTGAGACTGCACCACGCGGCACGTGCGGTAACCAGCTGCTGCGTAACGCTGCGGAGAGGCGTGAAGATAAGGGTGGGAGGAATGAAGGCAGAACGGGAGGCACTGAGCAAAACAGTTGAGGGTTGAGGGTTGAGGGTTGAGGGTTGAGGGTGGAGGGTTGAGGGTTGAGGGTTTCAAGCAAGGAGGATGGTTGTGAGTCATTCCAAGCCACCACCATGGGCTTGTTGGTTCTCAATCAGCGCCTTCTCAGTCAATCTTTTAGGCGCCTCAGAAAGGGACTCATGATGTGGCGCTGAACTAAGAAGCTCTCGTTCAGCGCCACATCAGTCAGTGCGGGGCCAAGTTGGGATGGATGAACCTCTAGCTCACACACACGATTTTGCCACGTGGCTCCTGCACCTGAGCTGAACTGTCTGAATGCCACCTGGAACAGCCGGTTGTCACCTGAGCCAACAGTATTATACCTGCAGCAACAGAATGCCACCTGAACCAAAAGGACGCCACCTGGACCAACAGGATGTCACCTGAGCCAACAAATTACCACCTGAGGCAGCAGAGACCGTCACCTGAATGATGAGATTGTCACCTGAATGATCAGATTGTCACCTGAATGATGAGATTGTCACCTGAATGATCAGATTGTCACCTGAATGAGGAGATTGTCACCTGAATGAGGAGATTGTCACCTGAATGATCAGATTGTCACCTGAATGAGGAGATTGTCACCTGAATGATCAGATTGTCACCTGAATGATCAGATTGTCACCTGAGCCAACAGAAGCGAGGCAGCCGTCTTATCGGAACCGCCATTCCTCAGCACTATGTTCGGAAAGTGCTTCAGTGGCTCAAACATGAACCTGAAAACACACCTGAGCCAACAGAAGGTCACCTGAGCCAACAGAACGGAGGCGGTGGTCTTCCCCGAGCCGCCCTTCCCCAGCACCATCACCATCCGCGCCGGCCCTCCGTCCCCCGCCTTACCCCCGCCTCCCGTCGCCGCGCAAACTATCCCGCGCCTCTTATTAACTACAGGAACCGCCTGAGGACTCGTGCTGCTAGTATTTCTCCGAGCTGCATTCGCGTGTCGCGAGGAGCGTTTCCGGTCTCCTTTGCAAGAGAATTTGGCCTGAGATTCCGAAATGGATACGCGTGGAGAGCTGACGTGGCGGATTCCCTGGCGTGAGATTCGTGGGAAGCTGGGGAGCGCGACCGGGGAGTTGAGGGCGAAATGGTTCTGATTGGGGGAAAGCTGGCTGGTGGAGGGGTCGAATCCAGGGAGAAACGAGGAGCGAGGGCAGGGACGAACGTTAAGAGCGCCGCAAGCTGCGGCGGGGAATGCGGTGGCCATGGCTGGTCGGCAGTGGAATTTGACTTGCAGACCAGGTTTTTGCGGGCGTGGTTATGAAATGGGCCCGACCAGATCCGTTAGAAGCTACTCGACGAAACGTACTGAGTGCAATATTCAAAGGGCGTAACTCAGTGCGACAAAATTTCGATGTTCAGATTCAGCATATCATTCCCAAAATCACGTGTGAGTCATCTTCTACTCATGTGGGTAACATGTCCACTACGAGTCAGATTCTTTCGCTGCTTTCTCGTGTTGTGAAACTTGACAGCGAGGAGGCCACAATCGCGTTTTCCCGCTGATGGTTGTTCGCCAAACCAACCTGTCCAATCACCGTCGTTTGGTTATCCCGTACCTCCCAAGCTGGTTTGATTGGCAGAACAGAACCCTTGAACTTGTCGACAATCTTCTTCCCCCCGCCAGATTCCAGGCGAACCAAGCGACGCACGCTCGTACCGAACCGATGCTGCACCCCATCGTTTTGAAAGCATACGACGACATCCTGGCCGTCCATCAACTGTAAAATTCCATCGTCGCCGTTACTGACAGACAGCAGCATCCTCCTCAACCCAGCAAGACCATCACCATCCCATCCGTCCTCACTCCTGCCTGACTCCAGCCCAGTGGCCTGTCTGACCAGGGCTTGACATGAGCATTAGTAGTCAGCCTGAGCTTGGTTGATGACGTACATCGTTATGGCTCTCATTGTTTGCCATAGTATAGAGTGGCGTAGAGTGTTGAGATTCGAGTTCTGTATGATAAGAGCTAGCTTTTTTCGTCCTTAGCTAGCCTTTCGACGACGCTTCTCGATGGCTGAGCTCGAGGAGCTCGGGAATAGCATTCATTTGCCTCTCTATCCGATTACCTCCCTACAAGTAGGGTAAGCGCTCTAGTATTTACTTGAGTAAAATCTGTCGGATCAAAATATATTAATCCAACAAGATAAAGGCCTCTAGCTGTACGAATGTCACGGTTAGCTGGTCCGAATTGCACAGTTGGTCCACGTCTAACTTCTGCTGGAATCCATTCTGCACGCCGGCGGAAAATGTGTCACGGCTACTAGGTTGATGCATTCCTCGCCTGGTGCCTGGTTGATCCGGGATTTTTGCAGGCGGAAGACGTCTAAGGGATCCATTCTCTCCGTCCATATTGCGAGGGAGGCGGGTCAGTTGATCTTTTTCGTGAACAGCCCCTGGTGTCCCAAGCGGAGCAGCGGGAAGGATGCAGGGCTATGGCAGCTGCTCTCCAAGGTCAGTCTAGGGTTGTGTTTAGGCTCCTCAAAACCGGAGCAGCGGGAAGGACGCAGGGCTATGGCAGCTGTTTCCAAGGTCAAGCAGAGAACCATACCTGGTAAAACGTTAGGAATTAAACAATCCTACTGAATTTCTGTTCATAATTTCCAAGAAAAATCAGGAATCTCATTCTGTGTCCTCGTTCCCATCTCTAGACCGGCGTGATTATTCATAATGCGTATTGTGTCTGACATTAGACAAAGAAGACACAGGTTTTCGTGTGAGAAAAAAAGACACCCGTGTGAGAAAAGAAGACACCCGTGTGTCCTCGTTCCATCACTTCTTTGTCTTCTTTTCTCACACGGGTGTCTTTTCCCCCACCTGTGGATTCCAGGCGCCACGCTACGACTCGCCGTTCGCCAACAACAGCCTCATGGACCGCCTGCTGGGCGAGATCATGGCGCTGGAGGAGTCGTTCTGCAGGTCAGTGGGAAGATGGGAACCGAATGCTGATAAATTCGGGCTGTGAATCGAAGGGCGTTTGGTGAATTGCTTTATGGCGAGCTCATGGCGCTGAAGGGTCGTTCTGCAGGTCGGTGGATGGACAGGAGCTGAATGTTGATGGATTTGGCCTGCAAATGGAAGAGCCTATGAGAATGCAGGCGCTTTACGAACCTCATGCTGTTGTAGTAGGTGTTTCAAGAATCCCATGCTGTAGTAGGTGTTTCAAGAATGCAGGTTTTCAGAGACTCTACAGTGTTGTTGATGTTGGAAAATCCCTAGACTGGGAAGCGGGGGTGCGTGCGAGGCACGGGAGGGCGAAACAGAGGCTGCTGGACAACTTGATAATGGACGCCATCTCCCCATTCATTCATCCGTGTCTGTCTGTGTCTGTCTGCATGCTGTTGCCGCCGCTTATGCAGAACCCCAAGACTAGGGAGTGGCAGCGGGGGGGGTGCTGGGGGTGGCAGTGGGAGGCACAGGAAGGTGAAGTGGAAGTCTCTGGACACGTTTGTGCGGCGCCTGCATGCCAGGCGGAGGGCTCTCTCGCACCTGCACCCACCCCCTCACGGCCTGTGTGGCTGTGTCACCCTGGAGGTCTGCTGGAGCGATGTGCGCGGCCTCAGATACGAGAACGAGCTGCAGGTGCGTTGCCTGCTGTTGTCGTTTAGATTGCAAGTGTTGCATGCCAGGCGGAGGGCTCTCTCGCACCTCCACCCGCCCCCTCACGGTCTGTGTGGCTGCGTCACCCTCGAAGTGTCCTGGAGCGATGTGCGCGGCCTCAGATATGAAAACGAGCTGCAGGTGGGTTACTTGTCAGATCCTCAGATCTTTTATTGTACAAGTGTTCCATGCCAGGCGGAGGGCCCTCTCTCTCTCTCCCACCTGCTCAGATACGAGAATGAGTTGTAGGTGAGGCCCCGGCTGTTTGTGTATGATAATAGTGCTGCATGCCAGGCGGAGGGCTGACTCCCACTCTCGCATCGCACCACGCCCCTCGCTCAGCACTTCTAAGTTCAGCGCCCCCCAGACCGGCCTTCCTTCTCATCGCACCATGTCCCACGCTCAGCACTTCTAAGTGCAGGCCCCCCCCAGACCAGCTTCTCATCCAACCTCCTGGCGAATAAGACCATGCTTATCCAGGTCGAAGCTATTCTCCTTGGCTTCTCCTTTGCCCTTTCACTCTCCTGTCCCCGCCCTCCAGGCCAACTTTTGAGGCCTCCTGTCCTCAACAGTCGGGCCTTTCACTCTCCTGTCCCCGCCCTCCAGGCCAAAGCTAATGTCGCCATGGAGGTCACCCAAGTGGTCAAGCGCGAATTCTACTCCTTTGATTTGACCAGGCCATGCTCGCCCACGCCCTGCGCTTCAATGCCACCACGCCCTGGCATGGCGTCTCAACGCACCCATAACTCCCCTACCCCCCTCCCCTCTCACAGGCCGAGGCTAATCTCGCCATGGAGGTCACCCGGGTGGTGAAGCGCGAGTTTGACTCGTTCGACCTGGCGGTCCAGGCCCACGCCCTGCGCCTCAACGCCAGCCCGCCCGTGCATGGCACCCAACTCTCTCAAACTTCCTTGCCTGCGGCCAGTCCGGGTGTCTCTGCTGGTCCTTGGGTGGGGAGATCGTTCAGTGGGAAGCGGCTAGAGCTAGGGTCACCTCTTGCGTCTGCTGCTGCTGCTGGTGGTGGTGGTGGTGCTGCTGCTGTTGCTGGTGGTGGTGGTGGACGGGTGTGCAGTGCTGGGAGCAGCTTCTCTGCTGGGGAGCCTGGGAGCAGACTAGCTGCTGCTGCTGCTGCTGGTCGGTCTGCCGGTGCTTCATTTGCCAGTGCTGGTTCTGGTGCTGCCATGTATGCCGGTTTTGGCTATGGAGCCGCTGCTGCTGGTGGCTGTGACCTGTGGGGAGGGCAGAGGCAGGCGTGTATTGGCAGTCCTAGGAGGGTGCTCTTTCTTGAACCGCAGAGCCCGTGCTCTCCAGTACCACTCAGACTGCACCCTGCTGCGGGTGCTGCTGGTTCTGCTGCTAGTGCTGCCGCTGCTGCTGCGACAAGAGAGGAGCTGGTGGCGTTTCCAAGCTCACGAAGCAGACTGTCAGATTCACAGGTGCGTTGAGCATGCTGGCTGGGCGTGCTTTTGAAATTTCTCAACGAAGACTGTAGTGTTCATCATGCAGAGTAGAAGTTCTTCCACGCCCTCTCTCTCTCGAGCAATCTCTCACCCTCTCCCCCCTTCATTCCTTCTACCCCTCTCACAAGTCCTTCCCCGTCCTCCCCCCTCAACCCTCTCTGTACTGTACCTGCTCGTCTTATACTTCCCTTTCCCCTCCCGTTCTCCCTCATGTTCTCAGCTGTGCAGTCCTCACCATCACCAACACCAACACCACCACCAGCAGCACCAACACCACCACCAACAGCACCAATACCACCACCAACAGCACCAGCACCACCACCAACAGCACCAGCACCACCGCCACGACCACCACCATCGCCAGGAGGCAGGCACAAGCCAGTCCAGTTCGGAGCAGCACACGTGGATGAGTGACTCCAGCGAGAGGTTTTCAGAGGGGTGCAGTGAGATGGGCTTGCTCGATGTTGACTTCGACGCCCGCACTCCACCAGAGGACGAGTGCAGCGGTGATAGGAGTGCCAGGGTGAGAAGTGAGAAAAGTGACAGGGTGGGAGCGAACTTGGACAGCAAAGGGGGCAGTGTAGCAAGACAATGTTGTGCAAATAGAGAATCGAATGCTAGAGAGGCGTCAGAGGACTGCTTGTTGGATGGGCATGACCCCGGCTCGCGGTCCGAAAGCGGGAGTGGTAGCGCGGCAGAGGAATGGGAGTCCTATTTCAGTGGCGAGCCTAACTCTGGGTCGTGCTGGGAGAATGGGACTCAGCTGTACAGCGGGAGTCAATCCAGTGTACATGACGGTGTGAAAGCAGATGGGGAAGGTTCTAGTGTGAATGAAGGCCGGGAAGCAGAGGCATATGGTAGCCTAGACAGCTGGAAGGAGGTGGACTCAGATTTTTGTGAGAATGCTCAAAAGTCTCTCACAGAGGCATATGGTAGCCTAGAGGGCTGGAAGGAGGTGGTGGACTCAGAGTCGCCTGATGATGGGGAGCCCAGTGTAGATGACGATAGGGAGGCAGATGGGGTAGTATCCAGCATGTATGAAGAGGCAGATGGGGTGGTATCCAGCATGTATGAAGAAGCAGATGGGGTGGTATCCAGCGTGTATGGCGACATGGAAGCAGAGACAGATGATGGTTCAGAAAGCTGGGAGGAGGTGGAAACAGGCTCGCTTGCCTGTGTAAGTGGTGAGCTTGAAGCAGAGTCAAGTTGCGCAGGCAGTGTATGCTGCAGTAAGGCGGAGCGGATTTTGGATTCGTCTAAAAAATCGCCTGCGTGTATTATAAGTGGCGAGCTTGAAGCAGAGTCAATTTGCGCTCACAACGTACGCAGTGAGGTGGAGCGGGACGCTGCTCCTAGCATTCTCATTCCCTGTCGAATCTTTGTGAGCAACAGCTGCTGCTGGAGTGAGGATGGGGATGCGTGTGGTGCTGGTGGTGCTGGTGATGGTGATGGTGCTGGTGCTGGAGCTGGTGGAGATATTGGTAGTGACGGGGGGGGATCATGCAGTGATGATGTGGAGGAAAACGAGAGGAGGGTGGGATCTGTTGATGGCAGCTGTGGCAGCTGCAGTAGTGGCGGTGGCAGTGGCAGCAGTAGTACCGTTGGTGATGCTGATGCTGATGCTGATGCGGATGCCGATGGTGATGGTGAGACTGAGGTCGGCAGCATAAGTTATTGCTCCACATCATCATCATCAGCCGAACATGAGCCAGCATCATCATCTTCAGCCGAACAGCAACCAGAACACTTTCCCTCTCCTCTCACCCTCCCCACCCATTCCCACTCTTCAACCCTCTTCTCCTCTCCCCAATCCCTCCCCACCCACCCTCAACCCTCAATCCTCCTCACTTCGCCCAAAACCCTTCTCCCAGCCCCCCGTGCCCCCCCCACCACTATCACCTACCCAGACACTCTCCTCCTCTTCCGTTTCACCCACCCACACCTCCCAGCTGCCCTCGCTGACGTCATCACCACCGACCAGCGCCTGCTCCACCAATTAGAGTCCGGCCTCCCCGCCTGGGCGGTCTTCCTACAGTCCTGCGCGGGCCTCTCCGCCCTCTACCGCCCCTGGATGCGCCCGTTGGTCGCCTACGCGTGCTTTATAGTCTCCCTCGTTACAGTCCTCATCGGGTTCTACGACCTGTATAAGAACATCCCGATCCTCCAAGAAATGCTGGCTAGACTCCTCGGGCCAATCTGGGGGGTGGTGGGGACGTGGGACATGGGCACGCGGCTGAGATACCTGGGGACCATTCTCTTCCTGCAGAACTGGGAACGCGCCTTCAAGTGGGTGTCGGCCGCCTGGAGAATCGTCTCGCACGTCCTCTCGGTGCTCTCCTACACCCTCTCCCTCCTCCTCAGGCCCTTCCAGCACCACTGGGCGCTTCTCACCCACACCTTCCTCTCCTCCTTCACCAAGCTATTCTCGAGCGTATGGGGTTTGTTATCCACCCTGGGCAAGCTGGTTACCAGCAGCGGCGGGTTATTTGGTTACGCGTTCCGGCCTCTCTGGCTGCTGCTGCAGCACACAGTGGTGCCGGTCTGCCACTGTGTATATGGGGGCTGGCGAGTGGTCTATGGGGGCTGTGCGGTGGTCTATCAACTTGTGTCCCAAGCATGCAGCAGCAGTGTGTTCTGGCTGGTGCAGCTGCTGTCGTCCCAGGTGTCCTTCCTCTACACCAACTGCATGCTGCTCTATCAGCTCGTGGCTCATGCCTGCAGCAGCAGTGTGTGGAAGCTCGCACAACTGCTGTCTTCCCACCTCTCGTTCATCTATTCACAAGCAGTGGTTCTGGGCAGGCTGCTGGGGGTGCTCATTCAGCCGATTCTGTTCCTCGCTCGTGCCATCTGGTCCATAGGTGAGTCTAGTGAGACGAGGAGGCGACTTGGGATGTGTGTCAGTGTACGCCAACTGCACGGTGCTCTATCGCCTCGTGGCTTATGCGTGCAGCAGCTCTCTCTGCTTTTGAGTCGACTCAAAAGCCCTAGGTGAGTTTTCCCCAGGCGAGCAGCAGCTCTCTCTGGAAGCTCGTGCAGCTGCTGTCTGCCCACCTCTCGTTCATTTACTCGCTGCTGCTGCTGCTGGGCAGGCTGCTGGGAGTGCTTGCTCAGCCGATCCTGCTCCTTGCTCGTGCCATCTGGGCCATAGGTGAGTCTATAGAGAGTCTAGTAGTCTACTTATCTGTAGAGTCTAGTATTCTCCTTCTCTGGAACGTCTGGTAGTCTACTTTGGAATTACCAATCGAATTCTGAGGCGCCTCAAAAGCCTATTCTGTTCCTCGCTCGAGCCACCTGGGCAATAGGTGAGTTTCAGCCTCCTCTATTACTGCCTCTTTGGTGCGTCAACAAACGGCAAGCTGCACAAACAGTTTTGCCCTTGTCTCGCCGTTGTTCTCGTATTTTTCATTCTAGATCTCTTGTTAACTCAGCTTGTCATCATGTCTCCACTCTTCTCATCTGCCTACCTACCTCCCATTCCCCCCTCCCCGACTTTCCCCCCTCCCCCATTCCCCCCTCGCCCCTTCCCTCCGCACCTTTATGACCCCCTCAGGTTTTGCCATCATCCTGGGCCCTGGCCATCCTCCAATTCACACCTCTAATTGCTGGCCTCCTCCCATCCCGTCTCATTCCCTCCCCTCCTCGTTCCCCTCGATCCCTTACAGGTCCAGCTATTATCCTCCCTTCACTCCAATTCACACACCTCATTGTCACATCCCTAAGTGCCAACCTCCTCCCGTCCTGTACCCTCGCTCCCCTACCCCTACCTTTTTTCCAGGTCGGGCCATCGTCCTTCCGCTACTCCACTTCATCCACCTCGTCCTCTCACCTCTCATATCAACCTTCCTCGCTCTCCTCCTGCTCCCCCTGCAGCTGCTCCCCCTGCTGCTGCAACTCTCTCTCACATCCTCATCACCCCCTCCCCTTCCCCTGCCTACCCCTCTCGCCTCCAGGTCGGGCCATCATCCCTCCGCTATTCCACTTCATCCACCTCATAGTCACTCCGTTCATATCAGCCCTCCTCGCTATCCTCAAGCTCCCCCTGCAGCTGCTCCGCCTGCTGCTACAACTCACTCACTGCCTCATCTCCCCCCGTTCCCTTGCCCACCCTCCCCCTTCCCCAACCCATTCTCCCTTCCAGGTCGGGCCATCGTCCTTCCGCTACTCCACTTCATCCACCTCGTCCTCTCACCTCTCATATCAGCCCTCCTCGCTCTCCTCAAGCTCCCCCTGCAGCTGCTCCGCCTGCTGTTGCAACTCGCCTCCTTTCTCTACTCCACCTTCTCTCACTCGCTCTCTCACTCCCTCTCCCTCTCCCTCGCCTCCTCCCTCAAAGCCCTCTCCCTTCACCTTGCATACTTCGTCAAAACCCTCATGCAACCCCTTACATACTCCATAAAAGCCCTCTCCCAATCCTTGACTTACTCCTACATATCCGTGGCTAATAGTATCTCCTATGCCTCCAAGGCCGTTTCCTCCTCTCTGCGATTGGTCGGCGGGGCTCTGAAGTTAGGCTCGGCAACCAAGGCAGTGGGGCAGCGAATCTCTGCTGCAGGTTCGGCAGTGGGGCAGGTTTCTGCAGCTGCAGGTTCGGCGGTGGTTCGGTCCCCTTCCTCTTCCCTGCTGCAGATGTGGAAGAATCTCTTCCAAAAGGTGTGGATTTAGGGCTAGGGTCTAGAGACGTTTTTCCAGTCCTCTCATATCTGCCTCTAACCGTCTCTCCCTCTCTGCAGCTGTTCCGAGCCATCATGTGGATCTTCAGGGGCGTTGCCTTGCCAGCTACTCATGTTGTGACCACATAAGCTACTCGTCCGTTCTTCTTGACTCTAATCGTCTCTCCCTGCCTGCAGTTATTCCGAGCCATCATGTGGATCTTCAAGGGTGTTGGCTCCTTCGTTGCTGCTGCTAACAGACACCGGCTTAGGTGAGGCTCTTGAGTTGACTCTTAGGTCGAGAAAGTGTTCTAACAGACACCAGATCAGGTGGTGCTCTTGAGTTGATGGAAGGGGAGGATTGTAGAGTCAAGATTTTCTTGTGAGACTTGTTGTGTCGGAACCTGCATGTGAGATCGCTTTTGTGCGTAAGTTTTCCTACATGGCGTGACCATGCGGCACTGCATGGCGTGACCATGCGGCACTACATGATCTCTGGCGCACAGGCTGCTGGCCTGGCTGCTCCGAGGGAGAGACCACAAGCATGCAGACATCAGTTCCTGTTCACTCGCTCCCCCCTCCCCACCAGCACACGGCACTACGTGCTATCCTAGGTGCGCAGGCTGCAGACGCGGCTCCTCCAACCCACTCAGGCCGCACAGGCAGATATGAATGCATCTCAAAGCGAACCCTTTTCCCCTCCCTCCCTCCCCCCTCCCCACCAGCACGCGGCACTACGTGCTATCCCAGGTGCGCAGGCTGCAGATGCGGCTCATCCAAGCCACTCAGGCCGCCCAGGCAGCAGTGCTGAGGCACCTCACCCAAACGCTCAGCGCTCAGCGGCTGGTTCGCCCACGAGAGATATGGGCTACTTCCCAAGCTACAGGGGATGAGCCTGTTGAGGGAACTCAGCTAAGGGGCAGCGGGAAGGGGTGTGGGGACGGGCACAGGGGAGATGACGGGGATGGTGAGGAGGAATACTGGGATGCCCGAGAGATAGACTCTGAGGAGGAATGTGAGGACGAGGAATGTGAGCAGGAGGAATGTGAGGAGGAGAAATGTGAGGAGGAGGAATGTGAGGAGGAGGAATGTGAGGAGGAGGAATGTGAGCAGGAGGATGTTGGGGAGGGATTGGGAACTGATTATGGTGATTATGAGGAAGGGGGGGAGGAGGAGGAGGCGGATGGGGATGAGGCGGCGGATGGTGAGGAGGAGGGTGAGGAAGCGGATGGTGAGGGGGATGAGGCTTTTGCAGATGCTCAGGAGGATGCATTTGAAGGTTCCTCTTGTGGAGAGACTGTGGATTAAAAGGTATGTTCGGGCGTTATGGGCTTATTGGCTTCTATTTATGGGCTTTTGTGTTGGTGGTGGTATTTAAAGCAGGGATATTAGCTGTACAAGACACAGTGTGTTGCTATGAGGTGTGTTCTATCTTATTCGCATCGTACACATGCAGTCTGGTTGCATGGAGTGCTTTATTCTCTCCTTCCCCTCCCCCCATATTCCCTTATCTCTTACTCAGCTGTGCTGATCTTGGAGCTGCAAAAACTGTTTGGCGGAACATATTGCATTCTCGCCTGCAATGTGAGTAAGGCGAGTAGCTGCTGTTGGTGTCATTACATATGCTTTCATTATTTTGCACCCCGTACAATTCCTGATCCTTATATTCCCATATTTTAAAGCCCGGTTTCCAAATTGCAAGCCGCGGTGCTAAAACGCACTGTGTTTGAAGGGGGCTGGGGCGAGGGTTACGTGGGCTGTTTTCCTGGGGAGTTTGGGGGGTGGTGGAGAAGGGGGTTGTCAAGTTCAGTGTGTGCTGCAATTTGGAACCTCGGAGTGCTTAGGTGCCACAGCCGTTCATTTTCCAAGATCTAAATCTAACGGTCTAAATTCCAAATAATTTGTTATGCGGGAACAACATCTCGCGACCCAAACGTAGCCGTTCGATTATTGATCTGAACGATCGATTACCCAGAATTAATTCGCGTTTCCCATGTTTCTAACGCGCCTGTATCTGAGTGGCGTTTTGGGTCCACCAATCTGGCTTCAGTTTACGATAACTGAATTATGGCAAAATATTTTGCAGAGATCGCAGAGCCCATCCCAAGCTTCCAAACGCAGTGTGTTTGAACGATTTGGGCTACGGGCTTTAATCTGGGCGCGGGTTAGCCATCCAGATTTGTCAGGTCATGTTGTAAATACACACTATTAGATGTTTTACTGTAAAGACCCAATGTACACTTAGCAGCTATTCGATTCAACCGTTGTGCCCATTTCAGTTCGAATAGCACATCATTGCCATGCTGGAAGTCGTGGCGGTGATACCAATCAGCGGTGGCCTCCAAGGCAGTTGGAGGTGCGCTGGTGGTGGAGGGTGCACCAACTGCCCAATGAATTTGCTGTTTACTGGTCGCCGCGTGGACCCTCGGAGTACACGGACGAATGTCATCCAAGTGCGTCGCTACGTTGTCAATCCCGTGATGTCCACGTCGGCCAATTCCATCCATCAATGATTCACCGACGTGTCCACCACCATGAAAGTTCGGATACTTTCCACGAAGCACATCACGGATTCACCACCCGTGACATTTCGTTTCACAGGCGAAACCGCTCCACCTGCACCGCTCGGGGAGCAAATTTCCGCATGCCTGGCCCATCATTTGCGCGAAACGCCTGTACCGTCTACGAACCCCGCCGGCGACAACCTTCCACCACTCCGCCCAATCCGCCAACAACTTCGACTCAACACACCAGGGCCACGTGCCGTACTCTGTCGGCACTCCAAATGCACGTGTTCTGGTCTTGTTAACCATGACACTTCAGCAAACAGTGGCTGACTTGTCGACGTACTATTTGTTATACAAAATCCTCCTTGGCGGGAAACATGCCCTGGGCCTGCTGGTTGCCCCTCAAACACACCTTGAAGGTGTGCTCTAAACGTGTTCCTGGAAAACCCCTTTCTGCTTGCTCGCCCTATCCAGCTTGCAACAACGTTTCTGCTCTATGGCTGTTCCGCTCTGGTGTGGTTCCAGCGCTGAGGCCATTCCCCAGCAGCGAGGAACTATGGAGCCAGGACCACGGACTGAAATGGTCAGGCTCCTAGGGTTTACAGGAACGACCCTTCATTATTCTTGCTTCAGTCATCCTTTCATAGATAAGAGCTTGATTTCTGTACGGTGCATCAAAACCCGTACCAGATCTTCCTTGCTAGGTCTATCAGCTTTCTTCGCTTGCTTCGTGACGCTGAACGGTGACCAGAACCCGCAACCATGGCCGCCACTGCTACCTTACCCAAGTCCTCGTTCTTAGTAGGAGCTGGGTGCTCAACCTCGAGATCACAGAAACTCTCCCAGTCGTCTGTTCAACTCAAGAAAGGCTCCGTTCCTCATGGTTTGAAAGCTCAGTCAAGTGGTAGGAAGCAGCCAGGAGTACGAATGGAGAGTGCGTCCGTATTGGCTTACGAGAGTTCCAACGGCTCGCAACAAGTAGGGAGTTGGACTGAACCCTCTGCCGTGTCCCCAGCTGTGACTCAACAGAAGATCGAGTCATGGCTTCAGCGATCCGCTGCTGATGTAAGCATCTTTCCATCTTTCTGTTTGTATTTTCTTAAGGTAACTCAATCTTTCTTTGTTTATGAACGGCCGATGCATCATTCTGAATCTAACACGCACCCTCTCTTCCCTGTCTTCCCAGATTATCCGCCATCTCGACGAAGCTCCGTTTTTCCACCTGGTGTTCGACGGCGTTCGTGGCTACCGCTCTCCCGTGCGACAACGGCTACCGCAAGGCGTTGTGGATCACGCTGACAGCTGGTCGACCGTGAAGCAAGCAGTTCAGATGGACGATCCTGATGGCCTCATCTTGGTTCACCGGTTAGATGAGAGCGATCTTGCCAAGAGATACGGTCAGGAGATGTCAGGAGAGCTAGAGGAGTCGGCATCCCCGTCCAGTCCTTGCCAGACGAATGTGTGGGGATTGGTAGTATTGGGAAGAGCCAGCCACCGGCATGCTTGTTACATACTGAAGACCACTCGTTGCTCCGCGGCGTCATCGCTATCTGCTACACGGTTCTCCATTACAAGAGCCAAGTGCTTTGGCGCTTCCGTTCACAAGCAGCTGGAGCAGGCATGGTTGAACAACTAGCCAGGTGGGATATTCAGGTTTTGTAGATAGACAGCCCTATGTATATTTTTAGACATTGTTGATAGTTTCTCTTAGTTTGACTAGCATGTCACATCCCAACCACTAGTAGATCCTTCCTAGTGAAGCAGCCTTCCGGATGTCTGATACGTGTCCAAAAGTTCATGAAGATTTGAAGCGTGTCGTATCACGAATCGTGTTTTTATGCTGCTCATGTTTGTCTTCAAACAGGTGCAAATCGAAGTCAAACGGATATTGAACCTCTTCATAAGTTGTTCTAAAGGGTTCTCACTTCTCTCAGCGGAATGACGGTGAAAACCTTCAATCGAAGTACCCTCTGACCTAGTCGTCACTTCTGTCATTGCGGTGGCGTCGCACCGCCCACCGCTACTTCTGTCAGCAGGAGGCAATGTGCCATAAGCCACCAGCTCCGCGTGCGACCCGTCCGCAACCAGACCAGCCAATGGGGCGATCGCAATCCGCGGTCCGCACCGGAATTTCCCATTTTCAATCTAGAACAGACTGAGCAGGCAGCCCCCCAGTTATCACTAGAGCATAAATCCAGCACCAGAAATCATTTCAGCATCATCATCAACAGCCCACAGCTCAACTCGACGTCCATCGAACACAGCTACCACTCGCGATTCTGCTCTCGCCTGCCTAAGCTCACTTGCTCTCACCAAACCGTGACTGATACGCAATCACCGCATCGCATCCCGCTAGCCTGGCAGTCATGGCTCGCAATGCAGCTCCCGCTACTGTAACCCTTATCGCTCTCCTCGTCACAGGTGAGGGACTCCCACTAGTAGCAAGGCTTGTAGGCGGGTCGTTTTTTTAACGCTCTGCGTGCTTGAAACCTGCGTTCTTTACTTATTGATCCTAAACGTTGCTTCAACTCTCGTTTGAATTGCAGTGCTTTTCGTGCAAGGAACCGAAGCAAGGTTCCTTCCCAACGGTTTCGCCACCAACCGCCTTCCTACTACTAGCCTCAAGCCAGCCACAACAGCCGCGAAAGCAGCTGCAGCAAAGTCAGCAGCTGCAGCCGCCGCAGCTGCCGTAGCTACCGCAGCAGGCGCCAAAGCAGCCGCTGCAGCAAGCGCCAAGGCAGCGGCTGCAGTAAGCGCCACCGCCGCGTCCCTCAACTCGACCATCTCCGATCTGGTATCGTCCCTCGAGCAGCTCGTCGCGAGCCTCAACAGCAGCACGTCCGCTACCGAGGCGGCCCTCCAGGCGCAGATGTCCGCGTTAAACGCCAGCCTCACTGCTCTTTCCGAGAGCCTCGCCAACCTGAACTTCACGTTCACTAGGGCCGCAAACGCTTCCTCGTCCGGGATTGCAGCAGCGCCGCTGCTGTCTGCACTGAACTCTCAGCTTTCGGCGCTTAACTCCAACTTGTCCGCTGTAGACTTGAAGACGAGCATCGACTCCCTGAAAAAGGACCTGGCGGGCTTGGTCGTCGGGTCGGCGGGGGCTCAGCCTCTCGCGGCGGGGGTTTCTGCTGGGACAGTTTCGTCAAGCGCAACCAGTACCGTGCGTGCCGCGGCGTTGGCGAAGCAGGTGGAAGCTGTGGCGCAGCGAGTCGCGGGGATCAACGCTAACGTCTCCGCGCTCGCTGGGAGGGTGAACGGCGTTACGGCGCTGCTGAACGCTGCTCTTAACGGAGCGCTCGGCGGCGCTTTGAATGGTACCTCTCTCAACGGCGCTCTGAGCCTTCTGCCCCAGCAGGCAGGCATGCTGCGCGGAGTGCTGACGTCGTGCAATGGACTGCTGTCTCTCCAGGCCGGTGCTGCTGATATCCAGATCCTCGAGACGTAAGTGGCTCGTTGACTGTTGTTGACTGTTTGACTTGTGTTTGACCCCGGCTGATCCATGCTGACTCCTGTTGACCCATGCTGACTCATGTTGACTAATGCTGACTCGTGTTGACCCATGCTGACTGATGCTGACTAATGCTGACTCGTGTTGATCCATCCTGACTCATGTTGACTAGTGCTGACTCGTGTTGACCCATCCTAACCCATCCTGACCCATGCTGACCCGTGCTCACCCATGCTGACCCGTGATGGCTTACGTTGACCCATCACCCGGCTCTTCCCCTTTCCCGCCACGCCTTTTCAGCATCTTGGCTCCGCACCTTTCTCTTAGCAAGTGCTGTCAGCACCAAATTAGAACCCCATCTCATGCCGTCTTTCTCCCATTCCTCCACTCCGCTGCCTGCCGTTCCCCCCCATGCAGTGGCTCAGACTACCTGGTCACATACTACCTCTACGCAGCAGGAGTGACTAAGGCCCCAGAATCTCAGGCTATTTTCAAGGGCAATCCGTGCAACACTGCTGCCACGGTACCCCTAGCCCTCCCTGGCACGTGGCTGCCCATGAGCCCTGTCTCCTGGTCGCTAGCCAATGTTGTGAGGGCGTCAGCTGCTGATGTGGCGGATGTGCTGGCATCGCTCCAAGGGATCACCAATGACAATCTCTACATGGGGTTCTTTGGGGCTGATGGGGCGCTTTCAGGGAAGATGATTGGAGGGAGATTTTGAACAAGTAGCTCAGGGGGATGGAAGTGGTTGGAACATGTTAGATGCTTCAGACTGACGATGATGTAGGCTTGGAATGAGGTGTTGCATCTGTCATGTTCCAATCCAACCAGCTAGGTCGTGTGCAAACGTGTACAAGCATGGTGGATAAAGATTGTGGTAAATTGGCCCAACTTTTAAGCTAGTGTGTAATACAGATTCAAATGTCAGAGATACATTACGGTACATAAGTCATAAAGTCACCAGTCCTAACAACTGGGACAAGAAGGGATGTCATTACGATGGTTAGGCTCCATATATCCACCTTCCCCGAGGAAAGCCTCCCCAGTACCCTCCCTAGAGATAGGGGGAGGATCGACAGGGTTATCCCAGTGCCACTACAACGTATGCATCCCACTGTTATGGGTGCATAGGGCTGTATTTTCGTTGCGCCCCAGCTAGCTATATCTGATCCTGATACCATACGTTTTTGTAGATAACCTTTTGTATATTCGTCATACGTTATTCAATGTAACTACATCACGATTATGCATGATACCTTCTTCATAGCCTGTCTTTTGACGCACGACACCCTTGTCCATAATGGATATCTGTAGTTTGTAGGCTGTGCCTGTTAAAGTCTGAACTAGGAAGAACAGAGGAGGCCGCCATGAAATGGCGGCCAAGGGTTTAGCTAGAAGCTGGACGAGAGTGTCGAGAGAGAAGAGAGGTAGACTAGAAGAGAATGAAGTACAAGAAGGGGGTTGTCCCCCCTACAGTAGGATGCAGTTAGTAGCATAACTACCAAGCCTACAATTATATAAAAATATAATTTGAATACACCCCCTAGGCTTGGTAATGGCAAACCCACACAACCCACACACACACCCCCTAACCCCGGACACCCTCATTCTCGTGAGCAGCCGGGTATCGACCCCTCGTGCTAGGCTATGACACCCCCGGTCGAGAGGCAGCTGGCCGCATCTGGGCGGCCTCAATGACGACAGCGGCAGAGCTCGTGCTCAAGGCGGCTGTGTCGATGAGGACAGGCGGCGACTGCGGCGGCTGAGGGCTCTCGGCGGTGTGGCACGGGCTGGCGACGACCGAGCCGAAGACAGCAGCTACGGCAGGAGCAGGAGGAGATGCAGGGGAGGGAGAGGTGGTGGGGCTGCTGTGGTGGGGCTGCAGGACTTCAGCGCGGCGCCATAGGCGCGGCGCTTACTGGAGGGAGGAGCAGGCGGGACGGGGCCCAGGAGGGGCGCGACTGGGCTAGGAGGCACGGCAGGGCCCAGGAGGGGCGCGACTGGGCTAGGAGGCACGGCAGGGCCCAGGAGGGGCGCGACGTGGATAGGAGGCACGGCAGGGCCCAGGAGGGGCGCGACGGGGAGGTGGAACGGCGGAGCCGCCACGTCAGGGCGGCAAGCCCAGCACGGCTGCTCGACGTGGCAGCCATGCGACATGGCCGCCACAGCGGCACGGCAGGAGCGACGAACGCACGAGAACGCAGCGGAAAGCACGGAGGGGAGCAGGCCCATGAAGGGCATCCCGCTCTCGATACCATGTTAAAGTCTGAACTAGGAAGAACAGAGGAGGCCGCCATGAAATGGCGGCCAAGGGTTTAGCTAGAAGCTGGACGAGAGTGTCGAGAGAGAAGAGAGGTAGACTAGAAGAGAATGAAGTACAAGAAGAGGGTTGTCCCCCCTACAATAGGATGCAGTTAGTAGCATAACTACCAAGCCTACAATTATATAAAAATATAATTTGAACAGTGCCCTGGTTCAAAGCCCATTGCCAGTTGTGGATCTTGCATTTTCCCCTGGTTCCGTGTCCCTCTAATCTCCCATAAGATCTCATGCGTTGAACAGTAACATTATATAATTAAAAATACAGTTATGTTTCCTTAGAATGTTGCTACACCTGTTAACGAATTGTGAAGCTTGTCGGGCAAGCCAGGACTCCAACCCAGCTTCTGATGAAGGTACGGATTCATACCGTACTCGGCCGTACTAGACTTTGTTATGACCTTGACAGAACGCCTCGAAAGTTACTCAACCACACGAGTCGAACAGTGTCTGTACGCAGCTAGCACAGGGGTGCTCACACTTCCAAACCCCTTATGATAGTCTCCACCCCACTTCCACGTAAGACGAATCGCGAGCCTAATCCTGCCCACAGCTACAAGCTTCGTAAATTATGATTGCCCCCAAGTTCCGGGTTTCCTGGCGTTCTCCATCAACGATTCGCCTAGTAACTAAGTAGTCTAGCAATGGCGCGCAATGCAGCTCCTGCGACTGTAGTAACCCTCATCTTACTCCTCGTCGTCCCAGGTGAGTTTTCCACACACCCTGGAGGCTCTTCAACACGCAAAATGCCGCTTTGTGCGGCGCTCCATACTTGAATGCCTTTCTCACCGTCCGGAGCATTTTCTGCCTTTCGTCACGCCTTCGTGTGACCCCCTTTGCCGTTGTTCCTTTTTCTTATTCTTCGCCTCAACGTTCGTCTGACTCCGACTCGGCAGCTCATTTCGTGCTCGAAACCGAAGCTTTCTGCTACTTTCTCCCAACCGACGCCCTGTGCAATAAGATCAAGGCAGCCGCAGTAGCAGCAGCAAAAGCAGCAGCCGCAAAGGCAGAAGCAGCTGCCAAAGCAACCGAAGCAGGCGCCAAAGCCTTTGCCGCGACACTCAACTCTACCACCGCGTCTCTAACCAAGCAGCTCGCAGCTCTCGAAAAGGGCATCAACAGCGGTGCATCCGCTACCGAGGCCGCTATCCAGGCGCGGGTATCCTCGTTTGAAGCCAGCCTCGCTGACTTCTCAAAGTGGCTTGACAACATCAATTTGACGCTCACAAAGGCGGACAACGCTCGGTCAGGGAAGGCAGCAGCAGGACCATGGGTGGCTTCGATGGAGTTGAGGTCTCCGCTGTTAGTGCTCAAATCCAGCATTGCGGGGTTGCAGACGAGCCTGGACGCTTTGAAGAGAGACCTCAGGCTTGCAGCGGGCGAAGTCAGTTCGGAAGGTGGATCCAGGGGAGGCTCTTCTGCCGGGAGCGTCTCGGCAAGCGCTGCCGGCGTGCGCGCCACGTTGGCGAGGCAGCAGCTGGTGCTGCGAATGACAGTTGTGAGGCAGAGAGCCGCGGCGGTAGATGCGGCCCTTTCGGATTTCGCGGCAAGGGTGTGACCAGCCGGACGATTCTTGAGTTGACTTAGAAGTCACTGTGAGGCAGCGGCTGGTGTGGCTCATGGGCTGTGAGGCAGCGGGCCACGGCGGTCAATGCAGCCATTACGGCATTTGCAGGGAGGGTGAACAACAGCCTGAGCGTTACGACGGAGTCATAAACCTCGCCAGAAGGGGTACACGTTGCAAATTTGGGCTAATTAAGACTGAGTGTAATTTTAGGCCAGAGGGGGCACCATGCATGGTTATCGGAAGGGAATGGGTAGGTAGGTAGGTATTCACTGCTTGTGAGTGTGGAGAGCATGCGTAATGGGGGCAGACTGGCTGCACTCCACAGGTTGCCTGCCTTCAGCGGCTGCTAGGGACTCTGGTCTTTGGGAGAAACGGAGCCATGTAGCGCAGCAGCAGGGCATTGATGTTGGTGTTAGAGACATTATTTTGTATATGTGGTAGCTACTTTTTACTCTACTTGGTACCACTAACCCATTCTTCCTGGTACATAGAGATCTATACAGCTAGCAGTTTTGCTTGATAGGGACGATACGGCGAGTTGCAAGCTTCAAACGAGACACCGCGTCAACCCCCATTCATTTGTCCTTTTCGGCTGCGTCTGCTGTATTCCGTTCAGCGCGGTTCACGCTCCGTCAACACAACGACAGCACCGCCCCTTCTGTCACCAGCAGCTTCCAGCACACAGCTATACCGTCCCCACCGCCTGTGTGCGACTCGATGGTAGCGGATCAGCCAATCGTGTGCACGCAATCCGCGGTCCGCGCAGAAATGCCAGACTTTCACATTTCAATCCACCGAACCTGTGGCAACCAGGACGGGAGCCCAATACCCCAATGGTTCAATGTCAAGCATAAATTGAGCACCCGAAATCATTTCGGCATCGACAACATTCAACAATTCAATATTACTTGCTCAGCTGCATACTCTATTTTCAGCTAAGTCACAACTCGATCCGCTCATTCGACTGATTACGCCTCATTCATCTCTCTTCCGAGCGTTTCCTAGTGATCACGACTGGTTCGCACGCATCGACGATTCTGCTCACCTCGCATCCCAGTGTAGCGATGGCGCGCACCTGTGGAGCTCCCACCACTCTAGCGCTCGTCACCTTGGCCCTCACACGTGAGCCGCTTCCTGGAAACCCTAGTAGTACTCAACCCTAGTAGGGTTGAATGTCTCTTTTCAGATTTGTCAGCATGAAACGTGCCTCTCTTGCGTCAAGCCCTGCTTCCTAGCATGAGAGCCCTCTCGATCGCCTTCTCCCTCGTACTTTGTCCCTCTAAATCAATCTAACTCAAGTTCATTTCCTGTCAATGATTGCAGTTCTTCTGGCGACACAAGCAACTGAAGCAAGGTGGTTTCTCCCCAGCGGTTTCCCAACCAACCGCCTTCCGACCATCCCCAAACCAGCCCAAGCAGCGGAAGCGGTGAAAGCGAACCTCTCAGCGGCCCTCAACTCTTCTCTCTCGGACCTCCAGTCCTCCCTTAGCGGCCAGATCTCGTCTCTCGATGCGGTCCTGAAGGGGCGACTCGAGCTGATCGCAGCGAGTCTCAACGGCAACGCGTCAGCCGCAGACGCCGCGCTCCAAACGCAAATATCCGCGCTAAAATCCAACCTCGCTGCTCTAAACGAATCTCTCGCGAACGTGAACGCCGCACTGAAGGCGAACACATCGGTAGCGACAGCAGCTGCAGCAAACATCACCGCGACAGCTTTGAACTCTCAGATCGCGGCGCTCAAAGCCAACATTTCCGCCATTAGATCGAGCGTCGACACGCTCAACAAGGACCTAGCGGCCATACTAGTCGGCTCGGGCGTCTCCAGTTCCGCTGGAGCGACTGCCTCCTCGACTCAAAGCGCAGCGCTGGTCCGCGCGCTGGTGAGGCAGCGGCTGTCGCAGCGAATGGCGGGTGTGACGGAGACAGTCGCGGGGATCAACGCGAACGTCTCCGCAGTCACTGGGATGGTCAACGGCTTCGTGAGCGGCGTCTCGAACGGCGCACTTGCTAATGGCGAGGCTGTGAACGGCGCACTTTCTAATGGCGTGGCTGTTAACGGCGCGCTCCGTGTCCTGAACAGCTCGGTGAGCAACAACGCTTTGGGCAACGCTCTGAACAGCGCTTTGAACGGCGCTTTGAACGGCGGGCTGAACGGCGGGCTGAACGGCGCTTTGAACGGCGGTCTGAACGGCACAATTACTGGCGCTGTGAACGGTGCGGTCGGTGCCCTCAACGGCTCTCTGGACAACGCCATGGGTTCCCTGAACGGGTCTCTGAACGGCGCCCTGGGTTCCCTGAACGGGTCCCTGAACAACGCTTTGAACAGTGCCGTAAACAGAGTCTTTAACAGCAGCGTGGCGTCGGGAATCTCGAATCTGCTGCCCCAGCAGGCAGGCATGCTGCGCGGAGTGCTGACGTCGTGCAATGGCCTGCTGTCTCTCCAGGCTGGCGCTGCCGACATCCAGATCCTCAAGATGTGAGTGACTCGTGTTGACCCACGTTGTCCTGTGTTGACCTGCATTGACCCACGTTGACCCTTGCTCCCCTACCCGACTCTTCCCTGTCATACACTTCATTCATGCCCTGGTCTGGTTCACATCACACTCTTTCCATATGCAGTGGCTCCAACTACCTGGTCACCTACTACCTGGTCAACTGACTCCTGTCTGCTTCGATTTCTTGCCCCTTTTTATTCCATATGCAGTGGCTCCAACTACCTGGTTACATACTACCTCTACGCAGCAGGAGTGACTAAGGCACCAGACTCTCAGGCTATCTACAAGGGCAGTGCCTGCAGCGCCGATGCCACAGCAGCCCTGAACCTTCCTGGCACGTGGCAGCCCATGAGCCCTGTCTCCTGGTCGCTGGCCAATGTCGCGCTGGTGTCGGCTGCTGACGTGGCGGATGTGCTGGCATCGATCCAAGGGGTCACCAATGATGACCTGTACCTGGGGGTTGCTGGAACCAATGGGATGCTTTCAGGAAAGCTCGTTGGTGGCAATTTGTGAGCTGGTTGACAGGGAGAATGTACAGTAGATGGGTGAGAGACTACGGGAGGATGATGGTTGAGTGAACATTACTGATGCTCCTAGATGCTGCCAGCAGTGCTTCTAAGGTACATTAGGAAGTAGTCTATGATTGTTGAGCGAGAAAGCATCTGTAATGTTCCAACAACCTATCATCAGACAGGTACACTTATGGTACCATTTTATTTCTTGCCAGACTTTCAACACAGTGCAAGAGGAACCACACCACACACGCCGTACAGTAACAAACAAGGTTTCACATGCGCAAACCAACTTGTGCGAACATGGAGAGGGCCGTGCTGCAAACCATCTGAGCTTCCTCTCTTAATTACTATGCTCATAGCAAGCAACATGACAACCCACATACATAACAAGATAGCATAGCATAGTGGACCAAGGTACCTAAGTGGTTACTCGATTAGAACGTCCACATCAAAACGCACCAGCTGCGGCAGCAGAGCAAGGACCTGCTCCCAGGCTGTGCTATTGTAGTCTGTGGTATTAAACAACTGTGCCAGCAGCAGCAGCAGTACTAGCCCCATCGAAACGCACCAGCTGCGGCAGCAGAGCAAGAACGAGCTCCCGATATCCACCCCACTGGCACACCAGATTCCCTGTCAAATCAAGAACCGCCACCTGGTACAGCCCGCCCAGACACTGCAGCACCGCCCACAGGTTCGGATGCTGCCGAACCACCGCTGCAGCAGCGGACTGGGTCCCGGACGTGCCTTCCCCAACCTCCCCTGATGTTACAACACCACTGGCTGATTGTCTCGACCAGGGGAGGAGGCGGTTACAGCGGGGGGAGGGGTGGCTGTAGCGGCGGCAGTCGACAGGCCTGGCGCCCAGCAGGTTGTGAGCGAGGGAGAGAGCGCGGAGGGCGGGGAGGTGCGCGAGAGGCGCGACGGCTGACGAGAAGGCGATCTGATTGTGAGAGAGGTCGAGGACTTGAAGATTCTGAAGGGCCTCGAAACCTGTGAGGGGTGGGAGGGGAAGGAAGGGGAAATGGTTGAGAGGGGCAATGACTGATGAGACGACGAAATGGTTGAGAGGGGTCTAGGACTTTTAGGTCTCGTAAACATTGAAGGGCAGAAAAAACTGTGAGGGGCGGGATGGAGGGGAGGAAGGGGAGGGGAGTTAGGTGAGAGGAGCGACGCTTGAAGAGAGGAGCGATGCTTGAAGAGAGGAGCGACGCTTGAAGAGAGGAGCGACGCTTGAAGAGAGGAGCGATGCTTGAAGAGAGGAGCGATGCTTGATGCGGATGTGAGCGGTCTAGTCTAGCGCACGCAATACTTGAGAGAATTGAGGTTGAAGAGGCAAAGAAGAAGCTCTAGCAACACATCTGACAGGCTATGGCTGGCTACTACTGGCTAGGGAGGGATCTGAGGACGCGCCAAACTCAAGAACCCACCTGCGAGGCTGCTCATTTGGTTATGGGTCAGCAGCACGGTGGTAGCAGGCAGCAGCTGGTGGGGTGCCGGC